ATTCTTCATTCATTAAACACCTACAAAAGTATAAATAAATCAATAACAATCTATCTTAATCACATTAACATTAAATTAATCATAAAATTAACTAGCATTAGATTGAATTAACTAATTTAAGTTTATTTAAATAAAATTTACTAATTTTTATACATTATTACAATAACTAAGCTAAATTAATATTAAAATTAAATCCAAATAAGATATAGAGTTATCGCCGAGATAGATGGATTCCTGAACCCACACGTAGTAACATCAAAATTTGTTTTGATGTTGTGGGTTTTGAATTTTCTCTGCTGTGATTGCTTTGAGTATGCTTTTTGCTAGACTTCACGCTGTGTGATTTTTTATTTTTTATTTTTGATTGTTGTTGCTGTTTGGCTCCCGATATGGTGGTTTTTGTGTATTGAGTTTTTGAGAGCTTTGATGTAGGATTGGTGTGGTTGTGATGTACGTCTCGCTTATGAGAGTATCGAACATTTGTATCCTTGCCATAATTCAACGATATTTACCCATTTCAAAAAAAAAAATGCTTGAAATTAAATCATCTAAAATTTGGGGATAACTCCCACCGAAACAAATTGGTGGGACCAAAACGCGTAAAGACTTATTGATGCCCATCTCTCTCCATTTATTACTTTGCGGCTGCGGCTGTCTGATTCAAACGCTTGTGGTTGACTAGCTTTTGCCGCCTGGTTTGAGAAAAAGATTGCATGGCAACCGTCGACGTAACCACGAATTCCTCTTGACAAAAGATATTCTTAATATACATTTTTAAAGTCTTCATTTCAGACACAATGGATATGGAACAAATTGCGGCTTGGGGAGAAATAATTGGACGAATAATAGATGGATAAAAGCTGTCATTAAACAGAAATAAAATATGCTGATCAATCATGGTTGGATGCAAGTCGTTAATAATTAAACAGAAATAAATAGTTTATCAGTTTCAAAATCCCAAAAAGGTTATCAATATATATAATATGCTAATGCTATGAAATATCAATATGTCTATAGCAGCTAATTAAGTTTACCCAGGCAAAAACATTTATATGGCACTCCAAGCCAGTATTTTCACCAAGTCCTGCTTCCACCGAGGCGTTTATATGCCAACTCTTCAGTCCAAATTTCGGGGGAGACAATGCTTGGCTTCCACAAACTCAATGGCTGCAGCAGCCCTGCAAGGCTCTCCGCTGTCGGCAAACACTCACCAAGAAGTCTTTCGTCCTTTGGCAGACTTCCCTCCGGATATATGGGGCGACTGTTTCATGTCTCTCTCGCTCAATAACTTGGTCACTCGCGTTTCTCACCTAAATTATATGCATTTGTATGTTAATTTTCACATTTATTATATACGATATAAGTAAGTGTTTATAGATAAAGAAAAAAAGGAAGGTAAAAGTATAATAGTTGGAAAATTAATAAATATGAAACAGAAAAAACATGAACCTTTTTGGTGTTTGAAAAAGAAATAAAAACATGAGTGAAAGACGTATGAAAAGTACAAATAATCAACAGTTCATTTGAAATTGAGGAGTAAAATATGATAACGAGAAAGTATCGAAGATCCTCAAATTATTGTCCCTTAAGTTGCTTTCCTTTTGCATTCGGCAGGAATTTGAATCACTCTCTAGGCAAGTAGAGGTGTTGAAAAAGAAGGTGAAGGACATGTTATCGGCTCCGAGTGACCAAGTAGAAAAAATCTTCTTGATCAACTCTCTATGCCGCCTTGGAGTATCATACAACTTTGAGAATGAGATTGAAGAGCAATTAAGATCCCTTTTTGTTTCCTTATCTAAACATATGGATGATAAAGACTATGACTTGGAAACAGTTGCATCCATATTTCAAGTTTTCAGGCTACATGGTTATCGAATGCGCTGTGGTAAGTCTCATATACGAATATATGTATATGAAAATTTTATTGAATTAGTTCATTGAGAACATTTTTTATCACTAGCATGCAACGAAGAAAGCTAGCTAATCCAATATTGGATTTTGTATCAGATGTGTTTAACAAGTTTAAGGACGGTGGTGGTGACTTCAAGGAAGTGTTAGCTACTGATGTCAAGGGCATCGTAAGCTTGTATGAAGCTAGCCAGTTCAGAATAAACGGCGAGAATATTTTAGATGAAGCCCTTGTTTTCACAACGAAGCACTTAGAGTCCTTGGCAGACCAATCAAGTCCCTATCTTAGAGAATACATAGGAAACGCTTTGAACCGACCTTATCACAAAGGCATGCTGAGAGTGGAAGCAAGGCAATATATAACTTTCTATGAAAAAGAAGAATCACCCAATGAAACATTGCTCAAGCTCGCAAAATATGATTTTAACCGAGTCCAACTTCTACACCAGCAAGAATTAAGCATCCTTACGAGGTAAATATTAGTTCTAAGCTTTAAGGATGATTGGTGCAAGTTATTCTTCTTTTGAGACAAACATGTTAGATGAAAATTGGTTGCAAACTCTAATATTTGTGTTGCAGTTGGTCCAAAGACTTGAACATAGCATCACAACTTTCTTACGCAAGAAACAGAACAGTGGAGATCTTCTTTTGGGCAGTTGGATTTTATTTCGAGCCACGTTATGCACGTGCCCGAAACATATTCACTAAGCTGCTGATCATCTTAGGATTTATAGATGATACCTATGATGCATATGGTACCTTCGAAGAACTCCAATGTTTCACAGATGCAATACAAAGGTACCCTTTTTATAATTTCCTTTTTTATACAAGTTTTGCTTTCCATTTGTTTCACATATGGAAGGTTTTTTCTTTTTTTTTCTTTCGTTGATGTCTGATCAAGTAAATTCTTCAAGTTTAGGTGGGATATTAGTTCCCTTGACCAGCTACCTGCAGATTATTTGAAATTTCTTTATGGGGCACTCCTTAATGTTTATGATGAAGTGGATAGAATGGTGAGCATGGATGGGAGATGTTACAGCATGTCTTTTACCAAAGATGAGGTGATCATTCTTTCTTTTCCTCCACATAATTACACAATTATCGATAGTTTTATTTACATTGATGAGAAGCATATATCTTAGAGTAAAGTTGTGTATATGTCATTTCCAAACCTATGCATCGTTATGATTTTTGTCCCTATGGTTTCAAATTTCACATTTTTTATTGAAGACTTCTCATTTGACTAAAAGCTCTATGCCCAATAAAACATGGGACAAAAAAAACATGCACCTTGTTATTTCTTTGATGCTTAAGGGCTGCTCTATGTACTGGAGTTGACACTAAGACTTTACCTGTTTGTGCTAAATTAGTTGAAGAAAATTGTGATTTCCTATCTGGTTGAAGCTCAGTGGACACATGAAGGTTATATGCCAACATTCGATGAGTATTTGGACATTGCATTACATTCAAGTGCAGCCATTCTAGTGATTGCTGAAGTCTTAGTTGGAATGGAAGAAGCAGATGCCAATGTTTTCGAATGGTTGAGAAATGGTGACAGTAAATCTCTTGCAGCAATAAAAATAATTGCCCGTCTCTATGATGACATCGCAACCAATGAGGTAATGTTTATAATTTTATTTTCAAAGGGGAAATAAAAAAATATTCTAATTACCATATTCTCTCATTCGACCAAGTAAGCTTTATAGTTTTAGCTAACTATATGCCCTTTGATATGATGGAAGGATGAGGAAAAGAGAGGACTAGTTGCTTGTGGAATCAAATGTTATATGAAGCAATATGGCGTTTCAAAGGAAGAAGCTATTGAAGAGTTTCGAAAAAGGCTTGTCATTGCTTGGAATGAGCTGAATGAAGATCATATGAGGCCGACGACTGTCCCAATGCAAATCCTTAATCGTGTTCTTAACATTGCATGTGTAATAGATCTTACATACAAGGATGAGGATGGATTTACCATGTCTGAGAAAATTTTGAAAGACCACATTTCCAAAGTGCTCGTTGAGCCCATTCCTATTTGCGAATAGGCTTTCCATGTCTGTACAAGTACGACTACATATTGTGTTTGCAAGTTAGGTTAGGGTGCATTTTAGTTTGCCTCCTCCCTTTCCTGTTGAACATTAGAAGTCTCCACTTCCTTTCAATAAAATTCTCAGTGGTCAAAGTTTGATGATGAAAAGTTATATTGACCAAACCTTAATTTTGAAGTTTCCTGTGAATTTATCATCTCTTAAAATCAACCACTGATGGTCAGTGCATGGCCATTGTGTTTCTCCCAAATTAGGAAGAATTTAGGCTTCAGAGATATTTATAGCTACCCAAGAGTCTGACTAGGCAAACACATGAGTGCCTAAGAATTTGTCTTTTTCTTTGTCATTTGATAAGTGGATTAAAATACAAAAAAAAACGTAAAAAAACGCAACATCAAAGGAGAGCATTACGCTAAAATTAAATACAAACCAAGTAAACTCCAAGAAATATTATTTTATTCTTAACCCATTGGGCCACATAACCCAACAATTCTTCATTTTTAATTTTTTTTGCACTTTATTTCCATCTCGTTTATATATATATATAAAATATTGATTCTAACTTACAAAGTTCTTCTCTGATGCCACGTGTTCATGCTTGAAAAAAATTCTGACGTCGAATGTAGGAGGATTTAGATGAAATTACATGAATTTTAAAAGATATTTTAGTTTTCTTCTTCTTTGTTTTCAATTTTCAAATTTAGTTTTTCAAATTAGTTGATTTCCTATCTTTTTCAATTAGTGGTCTTGCTTTTGTAACCGAAATGAATATATACATATTGAATGAGTTCTAGTTTTCTGATGCATCTTTTCAAAAGAATTGTGAACTAACTTTTTCCTTTTCTTTTTGTTTTTTGCTTATTACTTATAATGTAGGTACTACTTAGACCATAAAAAAGTATTAAAGAAAGAAAAAATAAAAAACAAAAAGGAGGATGAAAGTAGTTATAAGAAAACGGCAATTTGGTGGTCTTAACAAGAATCTCTTCCCGCGCGTTCTCCTCTCTCTGTTTCCAAAAACCAACAAGAAAAAAGAAAGGAGAAAGAATGCGGGGTTTATCGATCGGAGCGGCCTCGGTACTGCTTAGAATCGCAGTCGTAATCTCCCTGAAACGCTCAATAAATGAAGTGAAGGTTCCTTCTTGCGATGGATTCCATAACATTTACCTTGATAACATAGAAGAAGATCAAGAAGAAGAAGAAGATGATGAGGAAACCACCACAGCAACAACAATAACCGGTAGAGGCAATGACCATGACTACGATTTCTATAGGAACACATGTCCACAAGCTGAAACCATAGTCAGGTCGAAAATGGCTCAAATCGTCTCTCGGCATAACGATGTTCCTGCTGCTCTATTGCGCCTCTTCTTTCATGACTGCTTTGTCAAGGTAAATTAGCTTTTCTTGATGTGAGCATTGCTCTGTTAATAGCAATTTGGGTTTGAAGTTTTGTGAGTTTTCCCACAATTGCAATTAGTTAATATGCTGTTGACTGTGGGGGTTGAGGGTTAACATGAAAACAAACTTAATTTCTTGCCCTTTTCCTTTGTAGTAGTTAACATTAGCTGTTCTGGCTATTCTAAAGATTTCAAGTTTCTTAGGTTATTAGTTGCTGTTTTGGCAGTTTTGTGCCTTTATTTTAAAATTTTCTGTGTTTGACAGAGTATATTTTTCTTTCTATTGCTTCAATGGTTTGCTGCGGTAGTTTTGATCACGATATAGCTCTTAATCTTGTGGGTATTTTCTGAATCAGGGTTGTGATGCTTCAGTCATCTTAACTGACAGCAAAGGTGAACGAAGCAATTTCACTGAGAGGCAAGCTGTGCCAAATAGGACATTGAAAGGTTTTGACATATTAGATTTGATTAAGGAGGAGGTTGAAAAGGCTTGTCCTGGAGTAGTATCATGTGCTGACATACTTGCACTTGCCACCAGAGATGGCATTCTTCTGGTCTGTTTAATCTCTCTCTTCGTAAATGTTCTTTTTCTTTCTGAAATTCCTCTTCCATTCAAGGGAAATCAAGGTTCAAAAATTTGAGGGGTTGTGTTAGTTTTGAGTATGATATATACTCGTGTTGGTGTGTAAGGCATAGACTGGTAAAAGACTACCTCTCTCTGCACAATTTTGTAAATGGAGACTCTGGTTAAATACTCTGGGCTACTCCTCCAACTGGTTGCTCAAAAATCAAAGTGTAAAGCAATTTAAGTTGATTTTCTAGTATAACTGTAATAGACTGTTTAACAGATACAGGATTTTACAAATATGCTGCTTTCTCTCAGTATTATGCCCTTTTTGTCATTGCCCATAATCGTGCTTTTTTCAAACCTTCAAAAGTGCAGCAACTTCAAAGTGATTTTGGATTTCACATTATGCTTTAATTAAGATGTCATTAGCGTGAAAACAAACAGATGTAGATTGGAATTGGATATTGGGAGGAGGATTAATATCATTTACAATATTAGCAGTAAGAGTATGATGCTTTCACTGATGGAGCTTTCTATTAGGAACATCTCAAAACTGAATTGTTTGGACTTTGGAGACATGCTATTGTTCTTTGGACCTCTTGCTTTTTGTCCTTCCTTTTGTATTCTGAAAACCAAAGAAAAAAATAAAGAAGCTAAGATTGTAGCCGAACATGTTACCCAATCCAGATAACTGCATGCGTGGTTCTCTTTGAGGATACTCATTCATATTTATTTTCAATGCTTATATCACGAAACAATGTTTGTTTCAGAGTTTATCACTATATATTTGAAAGTATGCTGGTTTCTTAATGCACTATCTTCCATTTGAATCACAGGTTGGTGGCCCATTTTACCCTGTATTCACGGGTAGAAGGGATAGCATTCACTCTTACTTCAATGAAGCAGTTGTTGAGATTCCAAATCCTGATGGTAACCTCTCGGAGACACTTCACCTCTTTGGCCTTAAAGGTTTTGATGAAAGAGAGACAGTCACTCTTTTAGGTATATACCTGGCATTTTTGTCCCCTTACCTTATCTCCCTCTACATGGTCCTTGAAAAATGAAACTTAAGATGTCATAATGGTTCTTTCTGATTATCTGAAGGGGCACATAATATTGGAAAAATTAGCTGTGAGTTTATTCAGAATCGCCTCTACAATTTCTTAGCGACTGGACAGCCAGACCCAAGTGTTCCATTGGATTTTCTCAATGAAATGAGAATAAATTGTCAAGAAATTCGTGACAGCAGAAATGGTTTGTCTCCTACAGCTGCAAATCCATCTATCTCGGAAAGTACTATCTTCCGAGGACTAACTTCAATTTCCTCTGGAGCTGGTTTTGACAATCACTTTTATCAGAACTTGGTAAGGGGAAGAGGACTCCTCTTTTCTGATCAACAACTAATGGCTGATGAGAAGACTGCTAGATACGTAAGGGATTATGCCTTTGGTGATGGATCAGCCTTTAGAACAGACTTTGCCAGGGTTATGGTAAAGATATCTATACTCAATGTATTGACAGGATTCCAAGGTCAGGTCCGAACTAACTGTTCCCTGCCTCTCTATGGCTCTTAAACAACAGTCTTCTAACCTGGTTGTGCATTTTGAGATTCTCCATTTCTTTACTAGTTTAATGTACTAGTATCTCCAGGAGTTGTACAATTGATGAAAAACCTTTTGCTTCAATACCTTCAACTACTACTAGACCCGATTGTGGAGCGGTAATCAAGTTGAGGATGACATTTTGATCTGTTTGCAAGTTTGATCAGGAGAAATCTGGACAAGTAATATCTGTAGCGTACGAGCATGATTTCACCCCAGCATTTTTGCCTGGTATTTGGAAACTATTCTGTGTGAGTGTGAAGCATTAATTTGCAAATTCCTAGCTGTCATGGTAATCACTCACAGGATTCCTAGATGTCGGATTATTATCATCTGTCTGTGTAGAGACTGTTGTCTCTAGAAATGCAAGATTCTGTCAACCCTTTTGGTTGTCAAAAATGGGAATGTCAAAACATAAAATCTTTTAGTTATCATAATTGTCATCTTCTTCTTCTTTGTTTTACATGCAAAAGTTGTGTTCATGCTTGTCTCATATTTTAATCTGTCATGAGCAGGACTACAGGCTCCATGTAGTCTTGCATATTCGAATAATGTTGTGCTTAATTTGGTTTAGCAAAATAAATTTCACTGCCAGATCAAATCAAGTCAACAAAAGGATGGAAGCTAAAACCACTAGGGAATGGGGCACAACAGATAGTGCACAAATGCAGATTCTGATACATAGATGAACTAGAGTTTTAGGGCGTACTCTAATTTGCAAAAACTTGCCCCATTCTTCTTTTCAAGAAAAGTTCCATTTTTGGCTTAAAGTATGTAGAAATTATGGAGTCACAGCTGATGCGGAATGAGAACTAAGCACAGATCTTCTTTTCTTCGCAATGAAGCACTGAAAAGCTCAGTCATGTCTAAATCTTCAGCCTTCTTTCCATTGGGAAGCTTCCAGTCAAAATGGTAGAGCATATTTGCAAGTGAAAGCTCTACACTGGCGATACCAAACGATATACCAGGACACATCCTCTGTTCAGCACCGAATGGAATAAATTCAAAGTCTGTTCCTTTATAGTTAATTGAACTATCGCAAAATCTCTCAGGATAAAACTTCTCAGCTTCAGTCCAGTAATTTTGATTTTGTCCTATTGCCCATACATTAACTATGACCCTAGATTTGGCAGGTATGACACATCCATTAACCTCACAGTTCACTTGGCATTCTCTTGGAAGTAGCAAAGGACCTGGAGGGTGCAATCTTAGTGTCTCTTTGATAACTAGTCTGAGGTACTTTAACTCATGAATGCCTAATTCATCAACGTCTCTTCTACCAGCAAACACATGCCTCACCTCTGCCTGTGCCCTTTTCAATACTTCAGGGTTTCTTAATATTTCTGACATTGCCCATTCTACAACTGTAGATGAGGTTTCACTGCCCGCAAGGAACATATCCTGAAATAGGTAGGATTATTAAGTTTCAATTAAGCATGCACAAAAGACTGGTTTTCTGTGTGCCAACATTATGATCGCACCTAGCCAAAACATAGAAAAGAGAAAAAAAAAAAGGCATTTCATTATAAAGGAACAGACTTTGAATTCACTAACCAGAATAATAGCTTTGATGCTGCTGGTTGATAAGGGAACTTCAAGGTCTCCACGATCCTGAATATCCAGAAGGACTTGGACGAGACGTCTACTTCACTTTCTCCTGTCGTTGTTGTTAATTTTGTAGCTCTATGTTCCTGAATGATGCTTTCAAGAATCTCATCTACCTTGTTATGCAGTTTTTTAATTTTAGGCCTCATGGCATTGATCAGATGGAGCAATTTTGCGGAAGGATAGACATCAACAACACTGAGACCTCCAAACATCGCTACAATGTCCGGAAGAAGTTTCTTGAATGCATCCTGATGCTTACATTTCCCACCAAAGGCTGCTCTGGAGAATATGTTGAGTGTTGAAGAGTACAAGAAGTTCTTAAGGTTAATGGGCGATCCTGCTTTCGATGAGATGGTTCTTACTAAATTAGATATCTCCTCTTCCCTGATTGGTCTAAATGACTGAACTCGTTTCTGACTTAATACCTCCCGCACACATATTTTGCTTATTTGTCTCCTGTAATCTCCACGAGCAAATATAATATCTCTAAAGTTGTAAGTTATGAGCTGTGCAGCATAGAGATAAGGCCTCTCAGAGAAAACAGAGTTGTGGGTTTTCATCACTTGTTTAGCAGCTTCTGGTGAAGAAATCACAACCGTTGATACTTCCCCAAGTTGCAGAAGCATCACTGGACCATACTTCTGAGCCAATCGGGCAAGGCAGCGATGAGGTTGAGTCCCAATAAGAAGGTGCAAGTTTCCTATCAGAGGCAATTTTGGAGGACCTGGTGGTAGCATTGGTGGAAGGCCGCTAGATTCGGTATTCATCCATGTCCTCAAAGCCCTGAATGTGACGAAGAGAAAGGTAAGAAGGAACAAGAAAAAGGGGAGTTGGTTTTCCATGAGAGCAGTGGGAAAGAATTAGATGGAGGGGAAGTTTCCTTTGTTGATTATGAATCTCCACTCTTACTCGGAAATTTTTGTTGGAAGGGTGAGATTTGGGGAAAATTCAGTGCCAAAAGCATTTAATTTGAATTTAGTGGTCTCATTTCATATGTTTTGTCAACAGCTGAACAGTGCTGTTATTGATATTTTATGTTTGCTTTCCATGAAGCATGCAATTTGCATGTTATATGTCCCAATCAAATGACCCTTTTGCGTTTTATTTCACTGGAATTAGCAAGAAGTTGAATGGAAAAATGTAAAAGTAAAACGATTTGTGTTCTACAACGAAACAAAAGATATAAAATATGAAAGGATAAATATCAGCATATCACATGCTGTGGGTCTCGTGTCTTCTTCTTCTTCATTCATGGCAGACTCCCAACTTCAACACTCTTAAGAAGCCAATTAAGAAGATGTGAATTACGCTCAAGTCAAGCATCTGAGACCAAGAAAGTTTGGTTGTAGATGCTAGACGTACGATTCAACAAGCTCATTAGGAAGCACTTGCCAAAGAAGAAGATAATGATGGGGACATGAAGTAATCGTGATATCAAATTTGAGTTACACTTAATACGGGTCTCGTTTGTCCTGTTGATCATTTGAGGCTCATGTGTCACTCAAATTGTAAGAAGTACATATTAAAGAGAGTCTTAATAAAATTGAAAAAACAAAATATTATAAGGTTTACAAAGAAATAAAAATACAAAAAAATTAGAAAAAGTAAGATGAAAATAAGAGAAAAAAACAATGATTGCTGCCCTTCATAATTTTCTCCACTATCTGGTGTCGACAAATCCATAAGAAATCAATTTATTGTTGGAAGTATTTAATTATTTTGTTAGCACATGTCTATTTGTTTCCTTTTCTTTTTCCCTATGGGGACATGATTTTATGTCTAAACTTTATTGCTAAAGGACAAAATTGTTGGTTTGAACTTATGCATCATTTTGCCAGAGGATAAGATCCTTTTATGGAAGCTGTTTAAAGGTCAAAACCAAAGTCTAAATCTTTAAATTAAGTTTAAAAATTTTACTACAAATGTGTTTCGTCAAAGTATATATTTTATATTAATTTATTGATATATTTATCATTGAAATTTAAATTAATTTTCTTAATTAATAATAAAAATGCACGTAAATGCATGCAGATGCCATCATGATCTACAAAGTAATAATTTTATGTCTAAATATATATGTGTATTTTCGTATGTGTATATGTATAAATATATGAAGGTATAATACTTAACAACGTTTTTGAATTATTTAAAAAATTTAAATAAGTTTTTATTTTTTTATTATGTTCAATCAAGTACTTTACTTTTAATTTGGGTAAAATAAATTCTTATAATTTACAATTGATTAACTATCTTTATTAAAAAGTTATTTGTTATCTTATATCACATGATAGTGACATTATATGTTAACATATCATAATTGATAGTGACATAGTATGATGACATGATCACGTAATATTTTAATTATCTACGTCAACATTATATCAATATCATGTAAGTATAAAATGATAACTGATATTTTTATTAATAATAATTAATTAATTATTAATTATAAAAATTTATTTGACTTAAAATAAAAGTATAAGGGATTGATTAAACTAAATATAAAAATAAAAACAATAATTTGTTCAAATTTTTTAAAGGAATTTAAGAACTTTTTAAAGTAGTATACCATATATGAACTTATTTTCTAAAGTTGATGACCAACAGTAAAAAACTAGATTACAAGTTTCCGATGACAAGTAATTTTGGTGGACCCGGTGATAGCTTTGAAGCAGGGCAATTGGATAATTTTGGATTTCAATCACGTCGTCAAAGGTAAGAATGAATTAAAAGGAGGGGAAATGGTTTTCCTTGCGAGGTTTGGCATGGCAGGAATAGGCGACTACTCGAAGGTTAGAAAACTGTGGGAAAATGTGATTCCTAAAACTAAGGTTTACAAATTTTTTGTTTCATTACTTTCAAATAATAAGTTGATGTTAGTTATCTGTTTATTTACTATATTAATATAATGTCAATTATTGAATTTGTTAGTACAATTAAATAATACTAACTTAATTGATTAATTACATAAAAATAAAATAACTACATCAAATAGTTTAAAGTTATATATGTATATATATATCTCTTTACACTTTTCCTATAAAATAGATTTTTTTATTTTGTATTTTGTTTCACATGCACAGAGAAAAACTACCCCTTTTTATTGTGTAACTTCTACTTGACTATTTTCTTCAAACATCGATTTTTTTACCCTTGTAATGAGTGTGCTAAATTCTAGTGTACTTATTTTCTTTTGCTTTTATGGTAATTAGATCTTGTCTCACTTACCACTAGGTATACCAACAGGTATGGTATTCGTTATTTTTCATATACCCAAACCTAGTGATGGATTCGAGATTTTACATGAGCGGTGGCTAAAGGGCAATCATACAAGATCATTGATTAGATCAATGATTTCATTTGAAGTAAAAAATTAATCATTTTTAAATAAAATTAAATTATAACATAAAATTTCATTCACAATTTAAATAAAAGTTTTCAAATTTATTAATACAAATAGATATAAAGCAAAAAAAAGGTAATATTATACTTTTGCGTTAGGCATCATAAGCTGTTCTCGACGTGCTTTCATGTTTTCAAATTTATCTTCACATATAAGAGAATAAAAGTATACTCATTAAATTAACAATACATAACAACAACTGAGCTATAATATCTTTTATAAATTCAAATATTACTAATATAAAGTAAATGTAAAAATTAAAATTAAATTGAAATTTGGGAATTAAAGAAACATTACCTATGAATTACGATAGATTAATGCTAAATGTTAGAGATTTCAAAATTTGTGAGTTAAAAGAATTTAGTATAATTATTTGATTTGGAGAGAAAGAAATGATTCATTGATTCAGAAAAAAAGAGAATAGCAGAAAGGGATTTCAAGTTTGTGTGAGT